TAAGTGATTTGAATTCATGTTTTTATTTTTTACATACAGTAATTTCGCCCAATTATATTAAATTAATTTTATCATTTATTTATTAAAAAAATATATATACGAAATATATATACTGAGATGTCAATTATATGTTTTTGTTTAATGAATACCTTTTCGAGTCAACAATAATTATTAATTCCAGCAAGGTAATATCTCTTCAATCCGTTAAAGTAATGTAAATATTTTTTCTTGCTTTCGCGCATGGCTTTGATCTGTCGCACCCTTTGAGGCGCGTTGCAAGAGAAAATTTTTTAAAAAGTTAGCCAATGTCTATAAATGAGAAAAAAAACGATTGTGATTGTGCATTGTGGCACAATAAAAGACGAAAACGAGTCATTGCTTTAAAATTTGGAGAGATTTGTAAAAAATCACCTAAAATCTTTTATTTATTTCTAAAGCCACCCGATATGGCATGGACCATAAATTCAGTGCAAAATAAGATTTGGAAATTTATTTGCAAGTAAAAATTTTTAAATGTGGACATTTATTGAATTCGAATTTGATTATGTTGCTGCCAGTCTGGATGGAATAAAAAAAAACAAAACTCTATGATAGAGTTAAAATGTCCATATGGAGCTGAAGTGCTGACTGTAGCAGAAGAAATATACAGTAGAGAATTAACTTTTTGGAAAAAGACCAATTCCATTAAGGAGAACCACTATTTGTATTTTCAAATTCAGGGCTAGCTGCACATAACACAAATGGATTTTTGCATTTTGTGCTTCTGTGCTTTTGGACTTCTGGAGGAATAAAAGTGGAGAAAATATCTCATATTGACCACTTTTGAGAAGAAAGGATACAAAATAAAATTAAAAATTTTTATATGCAATATGTCTTGCCGGAACTTGTTGACAGCGAAGCAGTAGAGACATGGAAGTAAGGGACAGAATATTAAATAATTCGTGAAAAATTTTGTTAATGTTTATTAACATAACGTAAGGAATCTTAAATTATTTTGAATATTTTTATTAATTTAAGAATTACATTTTATTTATTTCTAAAACATGGTAGTAGGCGATCCATTTAAGATATGATTAATGTCTTATTATTTATTATATTACACTATTTTAAATTTAGGATTTTATCGGTGGCAGTGGTAATTGATGATATATAATTATTATTAATATTATTAATATTATTATTATTATTATTATTATTATTATTATTTTTTTTTTTTTTTTTTTTTTTTTTTTTTTTTTTTTTTTTTTTTTTTTTTTTTTTTTTTTTAATCACGTGTGTGTCACGGTGGTTTCTTGCGGCCAGTGAGGTAAGTCACAAAGCTCGCAAGATTTTGATTTTTTTTTTTTCTTATTTTTCTTGTTCTCCCGCAGGTTTGTTGAGTACTTTACGGACATTATTATTATTATTATTATTGTTATTATTATTATTATTATTATTAATATTATTATTATTATTATTATTATTATTATTATTATTATTATTATTATTATTATTATTATTATTATTATTATTATTATTATTATTATTATTATTATTATTATTATTATTATTATTATTATTATTATTTATTATTATTATTATTATTATTATTATTATTATTATTATTATTATTATTATTATTATTATTATTATTATTATTATTATTATTATTATTATTATTATTATTATTATTATTATTATTATTATTATACCAAATGTTTTAAAAGGCTACACCAACTAGTGGACCACGCTTTTAAGTCCACAAATAATAGTTTCAAGATTTTGATTCGGATTAGAAGTTTTACTATATAGGATTTTATGTCAAAGCCAAGTCATGTAGGTATTGTTATTGTAATACGTAGATGAGTAACTATCATCAATAGAAATTTAAAATTCAAACATAAATCTTTGTAACGACGTTATTTACAACTTTATTAACTTCATAACGGTCAAAAATGTTAGTTAATTTATTTAATTTTAAATATAAATTGATTTTTATTTTAACTTAGACATTTTCGAAAAGTTCACTATATTGTTTAGTTGTTGCAACTTTACTGCGCTTAAGTAGCGTTCAGATTAAAATATGAATTTATGGAGCTTAACTTAAAAACAGAAACTAATGCTTTCATTCCAAAAAAAGTATTATTGCCAATAAAAAGAATTTCGAATTGTGATATCTGCAAGTCCTTATTTAAAACCTTTAAATTTAATATTATCATTATACAAGAGTTATCTTTACAAATTGATACAAATATCGAACACAAGTTAGTTGACATAAACATTATTTCCATAATACAAATAAATATATCTCTGTTAAAGAATACTCATAATTTATTTAATATATATTCATTTAAACATGTTTTTGTTTTTTGTCTGGATGATATTGAATACTAACTTTTTCTATATAACTTCTCATCGAGACATTGTGAGATAAAAAAAACAGACAATTAATTAAAAGCGTACTCACAATTTTTCTGGTATAGAAGTTTCAATGCTATACTGTTTCCCAAATTATGAAAATACTGAAGTATATTTAAAAAATAAAATAAAAAGCCAATTAAACAATGTGTTAATATCTGAAAACAAAAAGTAGTCGAAAATTGTGAAAATAACAACATATTTTTATTTCACAAAAATAATAAGTCAGTTTTTGTTTTTTATGTAAATCATATAATTTTCAAGGCAATAAAACAGAAGAAAAGTCACCGAATACCGATTTCAAAAAGGTCTATTAGTTTTTATAGGAAATGGAAAGAGAAAGAATGCTTTATAAACGAGATAAAATTCTTTACTAATTTCGATAACTATAAACGGATTAAGGTATTTTGTACCGTGTTAAAAAATTTAAGAAAAATTTTGAAGAATATTTCTTTTTTTTTTAAATTAGTAAACTTTGACAAAAATATACAATATTCTAAAAGATAAATCACATTTATGTGATTATACAAAAATTTTATTTATTTTTCTAAAATAATATGGATTGTCCCCTAAAATATATATATATAGTGGCTCGCAAAAAGTCTGCTTTTCATGCTACTTTTTTCAGAAAATGTCATTCCTGATAAAACTTGGTGTTTAATTAAACCTAAAACTTTATTTCTTCAAAAAATTCTGTTCCATAAATATAAATTTGGCTGCACAGTGAACTAGGTACTCTTCTAGGAACCGAACCCACATTTTTACATATAAGATTAATTTAAGAAGATGTATATAACTCCACATAGTAGTTTTTTAGTTAATACAAACAATATAGATTAATATGTCCTTTTTAACCTACTTCAAAAAGAAGGAGGTCTCAATTCGTCTGTATATATATTTTTATGTATGTTCAGCGATAATTCTTTAACACAATGTCCGATTTAAATGATTCTTTTTTGCTGGAAAGGGGGTACTTCCGGGATGGTCCCATATAAATTTGGTCAAAATCTAATAATTGGGTCAATGGGAAAATCCTCAAACTTTTCATTTTTTATGTATGTTTAGCGATAATTCTTTATCACCTTGTCCGATTTCTCTAATTCTTTTCGTTAGCAAGGCGTACCTCAGGGGTGATCCCATATAAATTTGGTTCAGATGTGGTGATGGCATCAGCACGATTTTAAAGTCGGTTTTTTTAAATTATTTCAATACATCTTACGTAAATTAAAAGTTTAATAATTTGGTGCTTTCTTGATGCGTCGTTTTATGATTTCACTTTGCATATGTTTAGGTACAGATAATTATTATTACTGGCAGTTTATTTTAAATCAAAATAATATTTTGTTGATCCAAAAAAGGCAAACAAAAAAGCCATGTCACATTCAGTGCAATAATAAAAATTAGATATATAAATATAGTATATTATGTACCAACAGACTAAACATTTACTTTTAATCTCGCCTTTTGTCGTAAAAGACTTTTAAATTTTTACCAGTGACGTCCGTACCGGGTTTGAACTGAATATTTTTGAACAAAAATATAGTGCGCCACTGCTTTTTCTAAAAACCAAAATTATCTTTAAAATCCTTATTTATTTTGGAGCAAATTTGGTTTATGACGTACTTTCGTACGAAGCACCCTTTTCGGGTAAGGAAAGTATATTGAAACTGCTTTTGATATTTTATTGAAATTTGGTAGGAATCCACCATGAGTGGAAACACTTTTTTGGGCAAAATTTCATAAAAATATCTAGAGTGATAAGAAACTTATGATAAAATAGTTATTTTTTTTTTATTAAAACTTTAAAACCCAAAGGATTCACACCCTTAAGTATCGGCACTCAATGAATAAATACCCTGTATTAATTGATATTACCTTATTCGAACCAATCGTCTATTTTATTTCGTTATTTGTATTTATATTTCACAACTCTATACTCTTAATTGTAATTTAATCTAACTAAACCTATTCACTAAATTAAAATATAAAAATAATGTAAAACCCTCTAAAAAATCGAACTGCGTTATAACAATATCTGGCAATGCACCGAGAAAAACAAATACGATTCTGGTTCCCCTAATTTAGGTAACTCTGACTCACTCAAAAACGGATGAACGTCGGCAGCCGTGTTAGGATTTTTCGGTTCCTTTGTCTTAATTTCGCGCGTTAGAGTTTCGAATACGTATCCCTCGTATCTACAGGCAATTGTTAAAATTATGAATGAATGCGGATTTTGTTTAGTCTCGGAAGTAATTTTGTAGTATTTAGGCTCCACCCTAACGTTGTAATTTTTATACCTACTAAACTACCGTTGCCCCGCAGGTCTTTCAGTTTGTAATGTAAATTTTCCTCTTAAGGTACAGTTAAAATTAACTGCTAACAATTGACAACTATGACAAATAAAACGCCCAGGTCTTTCATAACAGAAATATGGTTCTGACTTTCACGCGATGATTTTGTTGACGTCACACATTCGTAACATAACTCCTTGTCATAAGCCGTATTTATAGAATGTACTCTAAGGATAACAAAAAGTGAATTCATAGCCACCTTTTACTAATAAATAAATAAATAAAAATAAATAAATCAAATAACCAACTCACAGAGCATTGTCCACCTTTAAGTTTGATAATCCTATTATACTTGCATTATAGTATTTTTGTACTAAATTAACTGCGCTAGTTCCAGCTCCAATAACAATTTCCGAAATCTTCAAGGGATCAATAGAAGGAACACCAATAGCTGGTAAACCTAAAAAAAATGGTATTTAATAATACAAAATTTACCGCAATTACTTTATAACACTGGTCGGCAAAAAAATTGTTTAGAGCTCTGACACCATTCCTGCTGATTCTTATGTAAAATTATTTCCTAAATCCCAATATGACCCCCATTTAAAATAAATATTAAAATTTCAACGCGTCCTTAAAGTTGCCTTGTTTTGTAATTTTTTGTCAAAAAAATTTTAAAAGGCAGGATTAAAAAATGTAAATATTCATTTAGAATGCTTTTAAAATAATTTTCTGTTAAAGTTTATGTTCAGATATTAACCATAACTAGGTTTGGTATAGTTTTTATTAAAATCAAAAAAGTAGAATCAATAGACATTTTATGATAAAAATGATATTTTAATTGGCTCATTTGCAAAATGAGTAGGTAATACTATGAAAATAAGAAACACCTAGGTATTTAGAAAAAAAATATGTGGCGACGTACTTTTTTCCTCCTTCTTTCACATCTTTTTATATAAGTAGAATATTGCATTATTACTAGTAAATCAATATGTGCGAACCTTTGAATTTATGTTATTTAAATACAATAATTTATCCAAAATCAAAAGAAAAATAGTTAGGCTTATTTTATTAACTTCTAACGTAACCCAATTTTACATTAATTTATTGTACTTTTGTTGCAGGTGTATTATATTATAAACAAACAAATTTTTTAATCTTTAAAAATTCTACGTATCTATTTTGATTGTGGTAGAAATCAGGGTAGTATGGACATGGACATTGTATATATTATTATGTAGTTATTCTTTCCTATGTACGCACTTTTTAAAATTCTTTTTTTACTTTTCTTGAATATAGGTGGCATTTTTAATAAAAAATACAAAAACTCAATGAAAAATAGTATACATACATAAAATAATAAATCACACACAAACAACTAGACATAGATATACAGACCAAAAACACGAAAATTTACTAGTATAGATATGGCAATAGTGCTAGTGCATAACGAGAACAATCTATTTTTGTGTTGCATCTAGTAAGTATAAGCGAAAGTTTTGTTGCGATTTAAAATCCAGTTGAGAGTTTAACAGTTTTCTATATTCATGGATATGGAGGGTAGAAAAAAGGAGGACAATCTTATATGGATCTTTATATTAAAAAGTGGCCACCAAAATGTATACAATTAAGATGGCGCTCGTGTAGCCAGGGAACAAAATCCAATGCTATATAGTCATATAAATTGCTCATTCATAAGAATTATTTATTGTTTATATTATTATTTTTTAATAAAATTTGACTATTGTCAAAATTTATCTACGATCACAGAACACTTACTCTTCTACGATCAGTCACTTTTCATGGTGTAGTTTTCAGTTTTTTATGGTTGAGCAATATTTATTACTATATACATCATTGGTGTCATTGTGTGATCTGAATTATCGACTGTCAACGTCCCCTGGGCACAGAAGCGCCATCTTAATTGTATACATTTTGAGGGACACTTTTTGTATACAGAGATTGTTCTCCTTTCCTCTACCCTCCATATTCATGGAATATCAACTTATCAATATCAACAAATTGCCTCGTTGTGTGCGCCGTACGGTCTCGCCCCGATCCGTTTGTTGGCGGTACATCAAATGGAGGCAATGCAGAGTAGTACGTACGTGCTCAGTCTGGACGGGGAATATGTACCATACGGCACCGTACAGATTATAGCGAGTTTTTAGGATTTATTTTGCATGAACTTAAAGCAGGAAAATAATCAGCGTGATATCTTAAGAGAGCAAAACGCCTGTTCTATTACAACTTCATAAAACAAGAATATCCTTGGCAGGAAATCGGCCATCGATTCCTTTCTCTCCTTTTTTCTTTAATGTGTCGGATAAAATAATAAAACATGCACTTAACTCCGCGACTTCATCCTCATCCTTTATTTTTGTTTTAATTTTTTGAATTTCTGAGTATACGGTTGCGTGCTCGCGAATTTACTGGGTCAGTGGCGAACCATTCGTGTATACAAAATGCGTCGCACGAGACATTCGGTTCGGCTTCGGCTTGCCTCACACGCGAACTTGCTCAATCTGTTCTCGCCTTTATAGGGAGACGCGATCACGTGGTCAAAAACGGCATTAGTCCGCCACATTGATGCGACTCTTACGTCAAATAGCTATCGCATTGTTGTGATTTCATTATTGTGATTTGTGTGATTAAGTTTTCGTGTTTTTATTTGCTTTTTCTGCAATATTTAAATATTATAGTAAAATACAATCATTGTTTCATGTGCTTTTCTTAACTGCAATAGCAGGAATGTAATTAAATCGGTGAGTGAAAGAACAAAACATATCCAAAATGACCATTAAAAAAAAAAACAAAAAAAAACTGTTATTCGGCCTATTTATGTATTGTGATAATCGAATTAAATTACGGGTTTTGAGCTTACATTAAATTGTAATTAGATGAAACAAAATGGATTCTATGTATTTTGAGGTGATCTTTTTGAAAAAAGGCAAAACAAAATGTAGCAGTTTTTCAAAACTGCCGAAATTTTGGATTTTGTCAATTTTTCAATTTTGCGCAGGCGCATGTCGGAAATAAATCAATATTTTTATAACGCAGTTTACGACATTTGAAAGCTTAAGAAAAATGATAATTTATATGTCTCTTGAGAAATTTTGATCCGATGCACCGTTCTCGCGGTATGGATGATTGAATTTTGTTTAGTATTTTGAGGCGACGAAGGTCGAAAAATTGAATTTGTTAAATGTTCAAACACTAAATTCTTTATAACATTGTTAAAAATTAAGATATTTGAAAAAACAAAAATGCATTTTGAACTTAGGGGATGTGACTAGTGATTCCCAGAAGGGGGCAAGAGAAATCCCAAAATTGGGCATATGGCGGAAGGGCAAAATGCACCGCGGTCCTAATTTCATTGTTTGCCTATAACGGCCAAACTATTTGATTTTTTTTAATGCCACTTACAAATCTTACTCTTAAATGTGAAGTCTTATGTGTGTGTGAATTTCACCGACATGGGACCATAATTGGCTAAGATATCAAACAATGAAATTAAAAAAAAAAATTTCAAAGATCATATGGGAAAAAAATTAAAAAAAAACTACGCTTCTGGTTTCCTGCGAATTCCCGAAAAATTATGTCAGATTTCGCCGCGGGACTTATTTTATTTGAGAGCCAACAAAAAAATACCCAACTTCTTTCATGGGAACATATGTCTAACATTTATAATTTCGCCACAAATTCATCGCAAATTTCATGTCCATGGTTCTGATCAAAAAAACGAAAAAACGACTTTTTGGTAAAAGCACTTCTGGCGGCGAGAAATTCGCCATTAAAACTACCTGTGCAATGAATTTCCGAACTATTTTTGCCTCCTCTTTCGAATGGTGCATTTATTTTCACTATCGGAATGATACTTGCCCAGATAATTAGCATTTTTACAATGGAAAATTCTGGAAAACCCGGTTTTTCCTAATTTAAAAAAAATTGAAAAACTGCTACATCTTTTTTTTCTTTTTTTCGGAAAGATCACATCAAAATACACAAGGTCCTTTTTGTTTTATCCAATTACAAATTAATGTAAGCTCGAAGGGGCTTTTTTTCGTTATTTAATTGGACTATGAAGTTATAAAATTTTGGTTAACCGATAATAATACGTAAATAAATTTAAAAATAAAATTATGCAAAAAATGATATTTGAAAAAAATGACTTGTAGTTATACTGTTCTTTTACTCAATTTAAAAAAAAATGCTTCTAATTTTTTTTTTTTAGCTTCATTGATTATTATTTAACAAACTTATTTGTAATTTTTTAATCAGAATCTTCATTTTTGACTTTCCAAGAAATAATATATGGTAGTAAAACTCTAGGATTTCATCACTAAAGTAGAATAAAAGTATCTTTATATTGGCTATCTTCTTTACGTTAATAGGGACAACTTCTGAGCGAGCATACACGTAACGGTCTATCGGAGAGGTCTACCTGTGCTGGTGTGCCTGCGCAGGTCGGCTTCGTGTCGTAGCGTGTATGTCTACCTGTGCAGGCACACCTGCACAGGCACACCGTAGCGTGTATGCCCGCCATGAGGGTAACTGCAGATTGGCATTAGGTTTGATCAGTCTAATGCACCCCACACATAAAAGTGTGCGAGAGAAAACCGCCTATGAAGGCACTTGTAGTAACATATCCAGGAGTTTTACCAGTGTATGTAAACTGGCTGTCTGCGGAATGACAAAACTAGCTTTTTGTTCATCAGCTGATTTAGAGGTTATTTTTTATGAAATTGCGACCACCAGTTTTTCAAATCTGTGTCAAATTTGTCTACGAAACGACATGGCTACTGAGTGAAAAAACAGTACGTGCACCGTACTTGTACTGTTGTTTCACTCAGCCGAAAATTGAACAAGTCCCCATCGCTCGTATGACGTTTTTTTTTTTAACTAAGTTAGTGGCACTGGATATAAACCAACAGGCCAGTCAATTGTCAGGTGAACAAATAAAAATATTATATAACAAACTTTATTATTTTACAGTTGGTCGGTGTATTATTCTTTCGCTATGTGATAGGCCTATGAATTTTAAACAATTTGCCTATCTCAGTTAAAATTACCATTTTTGGCACTTGTATTATTCTTTCAGTCACCGATTCAATTGATAAAAATAAATTAAGAGAAATAACATTTCATGTGTTAGTATACAAAATGATAACAATAAACAGGGTAGTATTTAAAAAAATTATTTATATATTTTGCTTATGTAAATAGTATTTACGGTAAATATATCATATATTTACGGTTTTCTGTTGTTTTATAATGGTTAAGATATTCCATTTTATGCTGTGCAAGTTTTTAATTTTGTTCATATAACATAAAAATGGCAGGATACCGTATATGAAACTATTAAATATTTTAAATAATAAATACATCCCAAATAAGAAATGTTTTAATTTAAGGTATCCAGGAATAAAATTATGAATTATTTGCCAAAACTTTCCAAAT